CTGCGCCCCCAGCTGGGCGCTTCCCCTCCCGGGCTCCAGCTGTGCTGGGGAAGCGCCGGCCGGGGGCACAGGGTCTGGGGGCTGCCCGGCAAACCGTGAAGCCGGTAGCGCTGGGGCAGCCCTTTTCGCATAGCTGGGAGGGAGGAGGGGAAGTTAGGGCGGGGACTTTGGGGAAGGGGCGGGGAATGGGCGGAGTTGGGGCGGGGCCGGGGGTGGGAAAGGGGCGGGGCCAGGGCCCCGTGGAGTGTCCTCTTTTTTTTATTTTTTAAATATGGTAACCCTAGCCATCTGTCATCCTTGCAGTGCACCAGAGGCATTAGGCTTTTCACAGTCAGGCATGTGCAGGAACTTTTACTGGGTTTTCCTTCAAAATTCTTCCTTTTTATTGCACCCAAGTTGGCCAGTGGCTAGGAGCAAAACTGGCTGGAGTCTGGAGATCTTTAGCCAAAAACTTAAAAATCTTTTATTACCATTGGCTTTAAAACAGATTAAGCAAATCTGGAATCCAAAATAAACCCACAGAGATTTACTTTCTTAGGAACAAGGACATAATTATCACAATCTACCTTTTATAATTGATGGGGTACAGGCTCCATGGAAACTCTGTGCTTGCTCACCATAGCCTGTCTAGCTTAGATTATCCCCTAGCACCCGTCACCAAAGTATCTAAGGACTGAAAGTTTTATCTGCCTGACAAAGTATCCCTGCCGCAACACAGCCTTCCCAATGAATAAACGGCTCTATTCAAAGGAGACTGACTAGGTATATTTCCTAATTTTAAAACTTCTTGTTGAACAATTCATCAGACAAAAATCTGCCCTTGATATTCATTTCTTTGCCCCCTTTTTTTTTTATTTTGGCCTTCCTCTGTTGCAGACATGAATTGGTTTATTATTGTAGGGTTGCTAGACAGGTTGTTTTAGTTAAGAATTGATCTTAAGAGAAAAGACACCTAAATCATGACACGGGCTTTGCAAACGGAGATGCGGGAAATCATACACAGTAACACACAATAAATGACATGGGTTTTGCAAACAGACATAGGTGAAAAAAATAACAAGGCGGAACTTGTAGGGACTGATGGGTTCTGGCTCTATGTGGGACCACAAACAAGGGGCAGTGATGGAGAAGAGAACACAAAGAACCTTGCCCCCCCATTGTGTGCATACTCTTAAGTGCCCCCACCGCAAAGCTCCACCCCTACCCTGTACTGCCTCTCCTCGTCATTTCTGAGTGAGCAGATTTTAGTGGTGACAGGGATAATTCCCCGGTTAATAACCTTGGGCTGCAGAATATGTTCATGGTTCTGCAGCATGCAGTATGGGACAGCTTTCGATGGAACACTGTGAATCATTTGCCACTTAGAAAATTAGCACTAAAATTCCTCTCCAAATCACAGGGTGGTGTTTTCTGCACTTTGCCGAGAAAATTCAGAGCACGTCATTTGTAAAATAGCTGGTTAATCAGTTTTTCCAAGAAGACTCAGGCCAGGTCTACACTAACACCCCAATTCGATATAAGGTACGCAACTTCAGCTACGTGAATAACGTAGCTGAAGTCGACATACCTTAGTTCGAATTTACCGCGGTTCAGACGCGGTCCACACACGGCAGGCAGGCTCCCCCGTCGACTCCGCGGTACTCCTCTCGCTGAGGTGGAGTACCGCAGTCGACGGCGAGCACTTCCTGGTTCGAATTATCGCGTCCACACCAGACGCGATAAATCGAACCCGGAAGTTCGATTGCCAGCCGTCGAACTACCTCGGTAGTGTAGACAAGCCCTCAGAAAAGAGCAGCTCCCCATACAGTGACCTGACTGAAGGATCTTTAGATGACTCATCTCTCTCATCTCACTGTCCTTCAGCTCCAGCCAAGCTACAGTGAGGACGACACACCACCCTCAGTGGCAAATGCTGTTTCTTGACATCATGCTGTTCCCAGGGTTAGTCTGAACAGAATGAATTTTCTTCCTGCCTCCAAACGCCTAAAAGACATCCCCTTGTGCCCTAGGAGATCAAATTCAACTCGTGGGGTTGAACAAAGAGTCCTCCCGCAACGAACAAAGTAGAAACTTTCTTCCTTGGTTTTGGCCTGGCATAACAGTGGGCTTCGGAGTTTTGTTCTTTAGTTCAATGCACAGAAGCAAACTTGTGCACTGGTGAGTCGTGTTACAAAATGAATTTCTCCCAGATTCTATCATCCACTAGAAAAACCCAGAGTCACGTTTCAAATGCAGACGGTCTTTCACAGCATACCATCTCGGCCAGGGATAGGTGACACTTTGCAGTGGAACAATTCATGCATTTGAGGAACAGGATAATTTATTCCATGAATTCAGACCCCGATCCCGCAAACCATTGTACACGTGTATACACTTGCCATCGGCAAGTTGACTCATATGCAGGAAGTTAAGCGCCTGCATAATGGTTTGAAGCATGGGCAGTGGGTTAATCCGCAATTCAGGAAGGCTAACCCCGCCGGCCCTGCCACTGGAGGAGCCCAATCCCCCCCACACCACTGGAGGAGCCCAATACCCCCCTGCCACTGAGCTCCAGGCCGAGCCGTTGGCCCCAGCACCAGCCTGACCCTCTGGCCCAACCCCTGGGCTGGCCTGATCTGCCCAGGGCAACCCCAGCTCCTAGTTGCTGGCGGGCCCAACCTACAGGCCGCCGGCTGGAGCTGAGCCCTCACCGGCTTCCGGGTAGAGAGGCGGGGCCTTGGGGCGGAACATGGGTGGGGCCACGGCCTGGTCTAGGGGAGGCTTAGCCTGCCCTGGCCTTTGATACCTGCTGCCCATGGTTTGATGGCTTTGACCCGTGCCCTTATTTTCTGTTCCCAGCTGACAATTCCCTTGCATGTATTCACTTTTCAGAAACCATTCCCGTAACCACTGTCTGTAAGCAGCGCTTGATCTAGATCACGTGAGCCGTTCACGCTCAGACTCAAACTCAAAATCCCAGCTGTGTGAGTTCGTTTCCTTTCTATGCAAAGCAGCACACACAACCCAACAAAGAAAAGGAAAGCAGTGGTCACTGGGGTGAGTTTACTCACCTGCTCGTGATACTCGATTCCCATGCTCAGCGTGTTGATCAGAATGGCGATCATAATCCCACGGTTGAAATACTTGCTCTCCACAATCCTTTTCAGCTTGTTGCCAAAAGCCACCCAAAGTCTAGCGACTTTATTCCTCTCCTTTGGTTTCTTCTTCTTCCTCTTTTTATTCCTCTGCTGCTGGATCTGATCTCTCTGGTCTCCGTGCCTCAGGTCCTGCGTGAATTCGTAGACGCCGTTGTTGTCAGAGTCGTAGCTGTCGGACTCACTGAACTCAAACTCGGGATCCTCCAGAATGTTAGCACAGTAGGGGCAGTTCTGGAGTTCGCAGGTCAGGATGCTGGGCTGGGGGCTGGGCAGAGGGCACGGCACGTTCAAACCCGACAGCCTGCTGGAAGTCCTACACAGACCTACAACCAAGGGACATGCACAGGATCAGCAGCGGAATTAACTCCCACCTTACTCCCCAAATCTCCTGTTTTCCATGGACATGTCATCTTATAACAAACGTGATGGATCTGCTCTAGCTCCACCAGACATCACGGGCTTGATGCTAGACTCACTTGGGAAGGTTCTTCAGCCCGTGCCATTCAGGAGGTCAGACTGGGTGCTCATAATGGTCCCTTCTGGCCTTCAAATCTATAACTGCCTCTAATTTGGTCCAATTTTTTCCATAGTCTCCCCTTTTATCCCTGTCTCCCCTCCTTCAAGTTCCTCAAGTATCCCTTAGTTTCCTTGCTTCAGCTATCTAGCCCTAGATAGGGCCATCCTCCCCCAGCACACGGTGATCTCTTTGCACTTTGCTGCAATTGAGTGGCACAGTGCACACGTTCCATTCACTTTGATTAAACCCAATGGTCTATCATCATTAATGGCGACCCTAGTGCTGCCTGAAAGTTATGCCAGATTTAGAGGACCCTTCAATTCCGATAACAAGGTGGGGGGAAGGGCACCGGGGGAACCAGGACGGCTATAGATTAAACATCTCAGCAGTGGCTGCTTTGATGTCTCCTCACCCCTCCTTGCCTTTCAAGCTTTTTTGAAACGTTCATTTGAATTTCTTGCAGTCACGGCACAGCGGGAATTGTGGCTATCTCGAACAGGCACGCCGGGGCTGGATTTTTTAATCCAATCTGTAACAGTGTTTGCTGGTGTGGGGAGAAAAGTTGGCAGCCCTTCCAGAAGCTGGGCACGGTGGCGGTGCTGCCTACCCAGCATGGAGAGGATGTGCCCAGCCAGGAGGTCTTTACAGACCAACGCAATGAGCCAACGGAGATGAATTGAGAATTGACCTGAACCTTCACCCGAATGGAACCTGATCCAGACTCCTGTGCAAGAGTCAAATACATACAGGGCAGGCAACTGCGCGGTAACGCTCCCCTCCTCCACATCGTGCTTGGTGGGAAGGGATCAGCTTGGAGGGAAGAGGGTAGTTGAGCTCCTGAGCATGCTCAGACAGTGGCCTGTGTGCTGAGTCTGCCAAGAAAGGGTTTTGGGGATGCAGACGAGACTTTCAGCAGCGTCTAGTGATTTTGGGTGCCTGCCTGGAGACACCATAAAGGAGCCTGATCTTCAAGGGCCCTTTCTTCAAGGCCCTTGTGAAGTCCCTCAAGTTGGGCACCAAAGTCACTAGTCATGTTTGAAGAGCTTGGCCTTCTCCACTGGGAAAAAGACTGCGACCCACCAACTCATTTCACAGAAGCCACCCAAGAGCCATCAGATAATAATGGCTGTGGGCCTAAAAGACAAGAGCATCACAGCAGTATTACAGTCATGATTTAGACCCCTGCTGTCTAATACTCCAGGAGGTTACAGAAAAAGCCATCGCTTCACTCACAAGGTCTGAAAGTTGGGTTACAATGAGAAATTGAAAGACTGGCTGCTTCACTGAACCTTACCCAGAAATTACAGGCCTGCAAAACTGGGCTGATCACCTCAGGAGAATGGGTTCTCTGGAGATTTCTGGTCATCATGCCAAAGATCCCAAGAGGTCAGAGGTATTTTCCCTCTCCCCCCGACTCCACACACTAGGCCACGTCCGCTCCTCTCTTTGCTAATTTACACAATGATGTAGAAATGCACAAGCAGATCCAAGGAGAAATGACTAAGCAGCTGCTTCAGAAGTACGAATGCTAGAGCACATGGCTTGTACCTCCTAAATGCTATCAAAGTGTTAAAAATGATACAAACAACACTGGTGCCGCAGATGTCTTCAGAGCACCAGAGTCTCCTTGGCTGCCTGCTCGAACAACCTCACAGCATTGCAGGGCAAAAGCACTCTTAGGAACAGGCTGTACTTCATTTTGCTCAATTCCACAGCACAAAAAGAGAGAATACGCTCCCTCAATCACATCCCTTCTCGAGACACCAGGCCCCTTTCTCAGACAGGACTGTGAGCTCCCCAGCCCTTAATGCCTTGCTGATGCATGCAATTATCCTTCAAGTGTTTCTGTTTTGCACATCGCTTTCCAGGATTGGATTCCACTCTGCTCCTTCCTCCCGGCTGGGAAGGTGCAGGGGGAGGCAGCCCTTTGGACTATTCCGATTGAGCTGGAAGCCAGGAATGCCAGATGGAGCTCACCAACTGGCTTCAGTGTCTAATCCCTCCAGCATGGGGCAGGAATCTAGCGTGGGTCCGCCGCTGAGCACAGGCTGGAGCCACTTCTCAGCAGGCGTGAGACACCGCGGCGTAGCGCCACGCTCTGTTTTTTGAAGCAAGGACCAGCAGTGGTGGAATTATTAGTCTCCAGCAGTGGCTAGTAGGGGGAACTAGGGGCTATGAAGCTCTTGCTTAAATGGATCAATTTAAATACTCCTTTCCCTGCCTTGCTAAGGTGCCTCTCCAGCTGTTTTAGTGTCCCTGCAAATATTTTTGAGGGTGATGGTGTAGAAGGGGGTCACCTCCCTTTCTTCCCATTTCAAGGCCTCTCCAAACCCACACAACTGCTGTCTGCCTCCACCTTCAAGTAGGGTTGCCAACTTTCTAATCGCACACAATCGAATACCCTTGTCCCGCCCCCTTTTCTGCCCCTTCCCCAAGACTCCACCCCAGGCATGAAGCCCCGCCCCTGCTCACTCCATCCCCCCTCCCTCTGTCACTTACTCTCCTCCACCCCCACTGTGTAAGGCAAGCCATTCAGCCAGTTTTAAGCCGGACAATCCCGTTTTTAATGGTTTGTCCAGTGTCACACTGGAGGATGCCATGCATGTGAGGGATGGGGCAGCGTGCTCTTCAAAATGGCGCCCTCATGTGCTGTGACCTCACACTGGTAGGGGTGGGGTCACTCTGGGAGGAGGGGGGGGAAGGCCGACACCATTCCTGGAAGTACTAAAATGTCCGGTGTTCTGGGGCTGCATGAGTGGCCGCCCTACCAATGGGATAGGGATTGGACGTTAGACTGGTCAAGCTGGAAATCAGATTTAGAACCTGAGGAGGCAAGAGTAGATATGTGCTCAACTGGGTGGCTTTGAGTCACAGGGATTTCCACCGGGAATTCCACTCGACTTTCCTTCCCCCTAGAAACACCCTCCTTCCAAGTGACCAAGAGATGCCTGATAACCCTCTTCTTTACTTCCTATTGTCAACTGTTCTGCAGTTCACTGACAAGCAGCTGCTGCGTTCCACCCTGTAGGGGCAGCACTTCAGCGAGAGACGATATGATTCTGATCGAGTTTATAAAGTGCTTTGGTATCCTTAGGGTTGAAAGGGCCTCTATAAACACAGGGTACTATTATTAATGGCCTTATTAAGAGCAAGGTCTTTGAAGGATGCTGAGCCAAATTAAAATCCAGTGAAGTCACTGAATTCACATGGGTGTAAGTGAAAGGTGAATCCGGCACTGCCTTATCTCACATAAAAGCAGAGAACCGGGCTCTTTGTGCACATCAGCAGGACCAACCTCCGGCTTGAACTGTGAGTTTCAAGCAACAGCCGTGGAACAGTTTCTTTGCTTTCAACTTCCAGGAGCGTGGGCTTTTATCTCCAAGTAAATACATATTCTCACACTCAGTGCCGGCTCCAGGCACCAGCTAAGGAAGCAGGTGCTTGGGGCGGCCAATACAAAGGGGGAGCACTCCGTCCGCTATTGGGGCGGCATGTCCGGGTCTTCGGCGGGAATTCGGCGGCGGGTCCCTCAGTCCCTCTCTTCCTCTTTGTGCTGCCACCGAAGTGCCTCCGAAGAGGAAGAGAGGGAGCGAAGGACCCGTCGCCGAACTGCCGCCGAAGAATGCAGCGGCGCGATTGGGGCGGCAGAAAACCTGGAGCCGGCCCTGCTCACACTATTGCCTTCGTTAACTTATAGAGTTAAGGCCATGCCGATGATGAATATAAAACCCTTGCATAAGCAACAAGAATATTACAATGAACCCTTCCCGCCACTGAGCATTTTAAAAGGGAGGAAGTGTCCAATGTCCAGTGAAGGTAATTTATATAAATAATTTCATGAGCTTTACCCATTTGTGCATTCAGTTAAAGACAATGTTGACATGGAAAAAGTCACCCAACATATTTCACAAACAACCTTAAATCTGACCCACAAGACATACTTAGAACTCTTTTAACATCTACATCACTAGTTTAAATAGTTGCGTGTGTACATGCGTGGATGAATATAAACTGTATTGACAACCACAAACATTAAAAATCACGAGACTGACTTAGAAATCACGAGATTTTAAAAACAATAACGTGGGGTCTTTCTATTTACTTTTTGTCATTTTAGACTTTAGAGTTCACGTTTTCCATCTTTTCTCTGCCACAATGAGGGCTAGACACAGTTTTTTTTAAAAAAAAGGAAACTAAAAGTCTCTCATAATCCCATGATTCCAGCGGCTGGGGTTTTAAGAAAAGCAACAAATATTATGAAACTCACAATAAAACCGTGAGAGTCAGCACTGCTGAATGCGGCCACACACAATGTACAATTAGTGATACGTATGTTGAAAGAGTTCATAAGATATGTGCATGTTCGACGTTAATGCCGTCATTTCCCTGATTTAAAAGAGCTCTGAGCCTGCAGTAGCTTTGCAGGCCTAGCGCATTCCCCTGTGCAGGGAAAAACGGAAGACAGGGGAAGACTAGAGGATCCAGACTTATGTGGCTCTGCTGCTCCCACATCCCTCTGTTGAGTACTAGCATATAGCAACCATACCGCTCCCCACTGCACAGCAGAACCCCACAGGTTCTGCTGCCAGGGGATCCCCTGTGGAACAAGAGCAGGGTTTGGGGTCTCTTCTCTTTCCATCTTTATTTTTCATGTATGGAGATTCATTTTCCTGTCCCCTTTTGGGCTTGCGAATGAGCACATGGAATGGTGCAGCATGTAGAGTGGACTCTTCCCTTTTAACCAAGCCTCGAGAAACGTGCCCAAAGAGGTGCAATACAGTCTGCACACAGGGCGAAACTCATGCAGCGTAGACAGCTGACATCCAGGCTTTCCTTGGAAGCCAGCTGCCCAGGGGGATATACACAGAACAGCAAGAGAAACTACTCCAAAGGCAGTGGTTTACTTTGATAAATCAGTTCATCAGAGGCTGACAAGGAGCGAGACTGAGGGTTTCGCATTCGGCTTGTAACATCAGGGACAAAAGATCGGAGCTCAGAAATAAACGAAGCCACCAGGCCCATTCTAGCCTCATTCATCACTGCCATCCTGGAGACCGGATTCCAGGCAGTGGATTTTCATTTTGGGTGGGAGCGAAGAGGGAAACTCCAGGAAACACTGTTCTCTGGGTGCAAAGCGACAAGCTGTTTGTTTCGTAGCAGTGAGAAGGAGGCGGTCAGTCTTGCTTAGGGCTCGCTGTCTGCGCATTCACACTGCATACTTCAAACCAGCCAGCCAGCAGAAGGCAGGGCATAACAAAGTGTACAGCCCAGAACTTGCCTTATTCCTGGCTTCTCCGCTTACACTGTTCAGGAAATCTCCTGTGTGCGCTCATCTGCTCTCCAGTTAGTGCCCCTCACCTTTAATGGCTTTGTCCTCATGTCACTGCTCCGGAGATTTCATCCATTCCCCTCCCTGTCCCAATACAGCCTCCATGATTAACAATCCCTGATTTTTTCATTTATTTGCCGCAGGTCTCAGTGCGGGCAAGGGGGCATTTTATATGTCAAAACACAAACAAGCAAATATAAAATAGGAGCCCAAAGTACATCCTACCCTGAACCCAATTTTGCGGGCACAAGTTTCTGGAAATCAGAGGGGAGAGGGACAGGTGAGAAAGGCTTCAAGTTTACAGCTGCACTAGAGCCTGATGCAATCTCATTGACCCAAACCCTGCAGTCCGCCTAGGATTCCCCACTTGCTTAAGTGAGGACTGTGGCTCATCATGAGAAATGGTCAAACTGATTCTGACCGACGAAGAACCAGTCTGACCCTTTGCCCACAGCTAAGCGCTGGCTTCACTTTTTCTCCCCAGGATTTTTATTTTCCTCTGGGTTTCAATAGGGCCCCATACAAAGCCTGTTCTCTCTCTTCAGGCTCCATTTCGCAGAACCAAGAAGTTGGGCTAGTTCTGATGGGCTTTAGACAAGCATGCAAACTCTTGGGCGCTTGGCTACCCTGAACCTGAACTCCGACCCCTGTGAGGTTCACCCATCCCCAGTTACAAGGAAGGTCAGAGCTCCCATGAAGATATGAAATTGGGCTCTAGTTAGCCCTTGAAGACCCTTTCCTACAAATCCCATCTGACCATTTGCCCTTTGCCCACTGATTCCAAGCAGGACATCCAGTCCTTTGTCCTTACCATGTTCTCCCATCAGTTGACGGAGCTTCTCAAAAGGAGCTGCATTCAAACTCACTGGGCTATTAACCATGGCCACAGGGCTGCTGCCACTTTTCTTCCCTTTGGGTACCGGGGCGGAACTGGTTTTGCTAGCTGGAGAAGGCAAGATGGTTGGATAATTCATATTTCCATGGTTGGCGGTGAGCCCAGCGGTCAGTTTAATACTTGCAGTGGCATTGGAAGACTTGCATTTCACCTGGGGTCCTTCGACGTGGCAGTCAGCATGGTAAATGCTATGGACAGACTCTGAATCCAGATGAGGAGGAGGGCTATGCAGGTTGGGGGATGGAGACGGAAGCATCAGTTGGCTCCCAGACTTCATGACCTTCAGCTCCAGGTCACAGATCTCAGGGTTGGAACGTAGCCCCCGAGGGCTCCCATTGCTGATGTGGTAGTGGTGGTGGTGGTGGTGATGGTGGTGGATGAGGTGGTGGATGGAGGTGATGCGTTTTTTGCTTCTGCGGCTTTGCCCGTTGGGGGCGCTGTTGGGGTTGACCTTTTTCCGGCGCTTGCTCTGCCAGTTGTTGTACAGACGTAACGTCCGCCGCTTTACCTTCCGGAAGATGTGGCCGATATATTTGAGAAGTTCATCGTAGCAGCTGCCCGGCTCCGAGAAGCTGGCGATGGTGCTGTCGTTGGAGAGGTAGCGGGCACGCTGCTCCTTCATCAGCTGGTTCTCCCGCTGCTTTGTTTCCGAAAACTGTGTTGCTATCACAACCAGGCACAAGTTAATCATGAAGAAAGAACCCACCTGGGGAAGCCAAGAAGAGAGGAATCAGCAATTTTACCAAGAGGCACCCACCAAATACACCGAATTGCCCCCAGGGAAGTCACAATATTTGCTGGGCTCATTTTAAGATCAGGATTTGCCCTTCATGCCGAATACCCAGGTCTGCAGTTGGAGAACCAAGTGCTGTATTAATTACACTAAAGGTTTTAGATTTGCACGTATGCTCTTTTAAGCTATTTCAGCGGCAACAAGGGAGATCTTTACTTTTAAACACCCGCCCCTCAAACCCAAGACTGACATCGGTTATAGTGGGACTTACCAACCAAAATTTAACCAAAGTACTGCTGAGAAATACATCATTTAACTAGCAAGCAGCTGGCCAACGTGCAGAGAGGAAGTTCAGTAGTTTGTGTTTCACGCGCTCTCTTGTACTGGAACTGCCAATATGTCCCCTCTTCCTTTTAACTCACTTACCCATAGGCATGATGTACTCTGATTTCTGAGACACCAGCCAGGATTCAAACCCCCATTTGGAGAGTCCTTTCAGGTTTAGCCCCTCATAACAAATAAGGGTGCTCCAGCGTAGCAGCAATTAATAAATGCCTGCCGATCACATAGCTGATCCGAGCAGGGTCATACAAGGAAAGGGGAAGCTGGTGCTAAGGAGACAAAGGGAATGTCTACACTGGAGCTGTAATTTCCAGCTTGGGGAGACATACCTGCGCTAGCTCTGATCGAGGTGGCACACTAAAAATACAGTGTAGCTGCAGTGGTGCGGGCAGCGGGAAGGGCAGCGGCCCCAGTACAATCCCACCCAAACCCTCGGTATGTACTCAGGTGTCTAGCCCATCCTGTTGCTTGTGCCACGGTGGCTACACTGCTATTTTTAGTGTGCAAAGTTAGTGCACATACATCTACCTGTGCTGGGAATTACACTTACAGCTGCAGTGTAGACATCACCCACTCTCCTCCCGGCTGGCTGATGCTGGAAAGTCCTTGTGTGGTTTGAGTTGATGCGGTTTGTTGCTGGAAATAAAGCAAGGCCTGAGGAAAGGGATGTGACATAACCTGTAGAGTTGGGATCTTTATTGGCCCCCCCCAGCCAGTGAGTCCTACCCCCACTCGGAGCTGGATATGGATATTCATCTACAATGGGCGTGGTTTTCATAGGTGCCCAGAGACACTGCCACGGGTGCACTGAAATCAGTCCATTCACCAAAATGAAATCAGTAACTAAAAGCACCCCTTGATGTCTGGGCTTTCCATGTACGTGTGTCCGAATGAAGCATCTTACTGTCTGAGTTAGTCTGCATCCTAGCTACTATCCTAAGACCCTTCTCCAGTCCGGTGACTGGGACCAGGATGGGCCTTACATTTCATGGGCAAGAACGAAGGATTAGTTGCCTTCTATTCAGGTCACACTGCCTGACGGGAACATAGTATCCTTCTAAGAGGAGGGAGACAGGGCTAGTCAAGGGTAGTGGAGCTCATAAGGGACTGTGAGGTTCTCCAAAAGGACAGGACACAACTGACCCCCCCACTCTCTTTGCTTTGCTGAAGGCCATGCCGGTGGGTATGATGTCATTCTGGCTTCGCCCCTTCTCTTCCTGCCTTTCCCTCTCATTTCCCTGGTTAGCACATTGCAAAAGATCAACCTCAGGGAAACGTCCAGCATTCCCGTTACGAGAACCAATGCACCGAGACTTAAAAGTGATTGATGTCGAGAGATAGACTCAAGGTGCCGTTACCTGTGTGCTGGGCTCAGCAGTAAATCTATGGATTTACTTTGGGCCATTGTTCCATGCCTCCTCTGGAGAAATCACTGGGTTACTGATATGCAGTGATAATCTCCAATCTTTAGCATCAGCCTGGGCGCTCTCTGGGAAGAACTAAGGGTGCCACCCTCAGCCCCAATTAGTCACTTCCTGGGTTTTTCTGAAGGGCTATGAATATGCAGAAATGTTCGAGGGAGTCCCGACTAGAAGCCCAGGTCTCCTGTTCCCAGCCCTATGCATTAACCACTAGAGCACAGTAGCTGCAAAGCAAGTGCATGTATTTCTATAAGTGCTGGAAATTATAGATGTCTTGCAGGAGACATTTCTGCTACTAAAGGATAATCCGGCATCTAGGGTTCTACACAAGTCGTTCCTTTCTAATATAAACAAATTGCCTTCTGGAATGTCAAGGAGGCTGGGGAGTGGGAAGCGAGACGTGTGCTGCTTATTCTCGTTAGCAGTCCTGGCAACGAGGCACAACAGCTAGGAGAAGTCAAGGTTATGAGATCAAGACTCGGAGAGCGAGAGAGAGGGAGGGGAGGGGCCTATATGGTTTGACAAGCTGCAGCAATACGTCATATTTATGTTGCTAAGAAGGACAAAGCTTTTTGTGGCATAATCTCCCACCCGCAGCAGTAAAACCACCTTTATGACGACACCCAGGGTTGTAGAGTGTCCTTGTGGCCCGAATGACCTGCTGACAGGGTCATCATCACAGCACCTGGCTCTTCTCCAGGAAAGGGACCATACACAACTTTAACATGGAGGGGCGGGGGAGTGCGCGTGGCCAGTGAGTTATACTTACTATTATAAGCAATATAAAATATATAAAATTGTAAAAAGAATGTGCATCCATAACATAATACATGATGTCAACCCATCCTTCCAGGGTTATAACCTACACGGAGAGAAAGAAGAGGAAAAAAGAACAAGTTACAATTAGGATCAAAGTTAATGTCAAACTTCTGCCGACGCCTGTTACTTATCACTTTGCAAAGCCTGTCAATGTTCTCGCAGTAATTCTTTCCTAGCTGGCTTAGCATCACAGTAATAAGTGCTACACATGTGGCCAAGAGACTGGCCTAAGGTTTCAAAGGAATCGAGCATGATTCAAACTGATAAAACAACACAATGAAACAGCGGAAGGACTGGTTCAGAGCCAGTGCAAAGCAGAACTTACAGAAGGAGCTGCTGCAAAGATACAGACAGGGACATGAAATCTACCTTGGTCTGTTGGTTCCATTACACTTAAAGTGAGAAGCTCCTGATTTTAAAGAGGTTCTATTTTTTTAACTCCGTTCTTTGTAATATCTACTCCAAAGCCTAATATTAAAATTGCATTATTGTTGGTGCTGAGGCAAACTGTTTGAACGAAAGAAAGTTACTTAAATTAAATTGTGAATCACTTACATCCTTGTGTTTTCAATCTCCTGTTGCTTAGGAAAGGAGCTGAGGATTTAATTAACACTAAGCAGCCAGTGTTCAGAGCAAAGTAACAGCCGCTGCATCATCCAAGCTATTTATTTAATTAAAATGCAGCCTAACATTCATTTTGCAACATTTCACACCCTGTGCTAGGTCTGATCCTGCCTTCTTTGCACAACCAATACACTTGATTATGAATTTCCTGGCAGTAAACTAGGCACAGGGCCAAATTCTGTCCTCGGTTACACACCAGCACATACTTGGACTGGCGCCATTGACTTTGATGACATTCCTCCAGATTTACACCACATTTGAAACGGGGTAACTGAGATCCTCGATAGCCATACAGTTACTCTTGATTGACACTGGTGTGAATGAGATCAGAATCAGGCCTAATACGCGTATAGGCATATCAGCAGGTAGATTATAAAAGGACTCTATGCAAAGTTCTGGTTACAGCCATTGAGAGAGAGTCAGTCTGACTTCTTCCACTTTAGTTGGTATTGCATAAGTAGCCTTAAAGCGGGAGAATTGCATGTGCAAGGAATATAGGGTCTGTCTACACTGCAATGTAAGCCCAGGGTTCAAACTCAAGCTCAAGCCTAACCTTCCTTCTGTCCACACACAAATCGCGCTAACCCAGGGCTTGGACCCAGAGTCTCAGCACCCCAAAGGGATGAAGGTTCTGAGCCTGAGTCAAGCCAGGATATGGGGTTCAAACCCTATTGCTTTGCAGTGTAGACGCAGCCCCACTGGACTTGTGCTTTGGGAGCCTGTCAAAAGTATCCCACAATCCTATGGGCCAACTTTCTTTGTCTTCTGGACAGTTAAGTTTGGTGGACAGTCAAGTTTTCCCATGCTGCACCACGAACAAAGGGCTAGAGTGGCCACATTTTGGGAGGGCGCAAGGAAATCTGGGATATTGTTGGTTGGATTCAGGTCTGCGTACTGTAGTGTGAACCCTGGGGCCCCGGGTTCAGGCCTGGGTTAGAAAATTCTTAACCTAGGTCTGACAATCAACGTAGATGCTCAAGCCCTGGGTTCTCTAACCCAGACTCCGCTCACTCGAGTTCCACTAACCCTAAGATTACATTGCAATGTAGACATACCCATTGGTATGTAGCTCCTTTCCTCCTTTGTTTTTCTACTGGAGCTGAAATAAACAGTGGTCCTTGTTGTTTGATTTTCTATGCAATAGCATGACTGTCAGTGTTCTCACAACACTGTTCCCAGGATCACCCCAAACCTGGTGGAATAGAAAGTTTTGATCATCTTGCCCCATCACATCTCTCGCCCTTGGTTTACACATGTGCTGAAGGGGAGATCGTTTAAAGAGACAGAAAACGACACGCACCTGATTCTCCTCTCGCTTCAGTCACTGGAAGTCAAGAGTACCTCTATCCGATTCAATGGTGTAAAACTGACATGACAGCAGGCTCAGGCTCTGAATCTGCTGTTTTCTGCCTTGTGTTGAATGTGGTCGAAACATTTGCACAGAACAAAATTTCTTTCATCCGAGTCCCTGGCCGGCATGTGCCATGCCAGGGAGAGGACTGTCTCCAACACTAATTACTTGTGCTGTTTCACAGGGAATCCAAGGAGATCAAGTTGGCAGGCAGCATGGTAATACAGTAAAAGCTTTGTTATCCGGCATGTTGGGGGCATGAGGGGTTCTGGTTAGTCAAAAATTCTGGTTAACTAAGTGTTATACTTATCAATGGAGGGAGGGAAGTTGAGTGCGGGAGGGGGGTGCGGGGCGTGGGCTCTGGGAGGGAGTTTGGGTGCGGGGGGAGGCTCAGGGCAGGGGTTAGGGCACGGGAGGGGTTTCGGGGTGCCGGATCTGGTCGGCGCTCACCTCGGGCGGCTCCTGCAAGCGGTGACATGTCCCTCAGCTCCTAGGCAGAGGTGTGGTCAGGCGGCTCTACACTCTGCCTCCACCTGCAGGCACCACCTCCACAGCTCCCATTGGCCACGGCTCCTGGCCAATGGGAGCTGTGGAGCCAGCAATCGGGGCGGGGCAACGCACGGAGCCCCCATGGCTGTTTCTCTGCCTAGGAGCAGTAGACATGTTGCCACTTCTGGAGAACCATAAGGAGCCAAGCAGGGAGCCTGCCAGCCCTGCCCCAACCGGACTTTTAACGGCCCAGTCAGCGAGGCTGACCGGAACCGCCAGGGTCCCTTTTTGACCAGGTGTTCCGGTCGAAAACTGTACACCTGGCAACCTTATTGAAGATTTGTATTGGGAGATATCAGAAATGCTGGTTTCTAGAGCTTTTTGGTTGATAAAGTGCCAGAGAACACAGTTTTTACTGTATATCAAACTGCTGCCAGTTACCCAAGAAGGCGGGCTTCCCTGTAGTGCTCAAGATTTTATTTTATACCCTCTCTCCCTTCTTTCAGTGAGTCTGTTGGAGTCGCGCTGTAACAGCTGTGGTAACAGGTGTTCTATCCGTTTACACTTGGTGATGAAAAATGAGCCCAGGGACCCAAAACATATTGGATATACCTCTTCACTGAATTGGAGTTTGGCTGGCAAACCTCAAATCGAATGTAGTAAAATGATTAAATGGCAGAGGCATCTCAATGAGGGCCGCTCTGCGGTCGAGTTCTTAAGGCGCTATGAAGTGCAGTGCCTGAGAAACAGCTTCAGGAACTCGGGAGTGTGCGTGGAGGGAGAACTGAATCTTTACATTAATAGAGGGTTTTTTTTCTCGTGCATTACACATCTTTTCCAATTGCTGTCAATCGACACACCAGATTTCTGCTGCAACGGGCCGAAAACACTCACCCAGCTCCCAGAATATTCAACAGGTCATTAGGACTCGCATTGCTGAGTCGTTTGCAAAACAAAGTGATGCAGACCGATAAGTGTGACTGGCTCCTGGTGGATTCATTCTTACAATGCACACACAATGTCAAATGCAGAAATACCCTTGGAAAGTTTATTCCTGAGGGATTTCGAAGGTGGCTGGAACCAGGAACCACTGGAAATCTCAACAGCAAGGTTGGTCCTCACAAGATGTCCAGCTGCTTTTTCTAATCATATAGGTAGGGCAAAGTCCACCACGTGGATGCTTGTCTGAGCTGAAAGAAGCCTCTATACTTTTAGAGCCTCTCATTGACATTACGGCCCCTTTAGGCGACACTGGCAGTGTAAAGGCTCAAAGTGAGTTGAAATAGATTTTTCACCTGTTTTAATGCCCCTTTATAGGGAGAATCAGGCCCCAAGGCTTTTGTCCATCACTGGTTTAGATAAAATGAACTCCACAGGTTGATTCTTAGGAACCAACTCAGCTGCCCGTAGTGAAATTCCAGAGTACACTGCTGTAAATCCAGAGTAACTCTATTCACTTTCATGGGATTGCTCTGGATTGACGGTGCCCATTGGAAAACAGAATTTGATCCCTTATTTATGTCCCCAGACCAAAAACAGTTGGCGATTAGGTCAAGAATACTCTATATTGCCTGTAAAAATCTGATATTTTTTTCAGCACTGTATTGCTTGTGACTCCCCCTTCGGGCACCCTGAATGTAATATCACCTACTCCATTAAATGGAAATTACTCCCCTCCCACTTCCAGTCTCCAGTGTGATTAATCCAGTTGACACTAGCCCCATTTGTTCCTCCAAGCCCCTTTTAAATATCTTCCAAGGACCCAAAGCACCTTTCCCTGTGCTTTGCAATCATGTCAATTCATGCTCAATAATTAAATTCAGTTCAAATCAGAATCGTTCACAGACAGACGTATTAAACAGCCCCTCCAAAATGTACCAGTTCAAAGCCTCCCATAGAGGCAACATGCAATTATTTATCAACAGAGATAAGGCAGCAAGAAACACGTTTCCTAATTCTGCTCTGATGAAAAAGATTTGTGCAAGATACGCGGCAAACCAAAAACGGCAGCTGGAGGGAAATAGCTGAAAGATTCAATTAAGATGATTGACAAGCTAGGGCACTGCCAATTGCAATAACATACTGGAGATGAAGAGGGAAAGAAAAGCTGCCCCCTTAGCATCAGGAAGGGATTTGGTTTATGAAGACCTGGGCAGAAAATGGGGCTGTCATGGAAGGCAGATGAAGGTCCTATAGGACAGACACTGGGTTATCCCTGCCTGCTTTCACCACTCCCTTAACTCTCATCTGTATGTTTTCAGCTTGGTGAGGGGTGGATTAAACCACCCAACCCCAACAGAAGTGGGTGCTAAAACCCTGCATCTTGTCCCAGCAATTGACATGCTAGGGCCTGATTCTCTGCTCACATCAGTGCACGGTCTTGGCCCAAAGCTCACCGGAGCTAATGGAAAGACATGCTTTGACTTCATCTAGCTTTGCATCAGGCCCTATATCAGGAGTTACTCAATGGCATTATACTGGTGCGCAATGGGCGAGAGAAGAGAATCACAACAACAAAGTCTCTCTGGGCCTGATTACACAGTGCTTTAGTGCGCACCAGTGGGGTATACATTTTAGTC